GGCTCTCCGTGATGCTGGGGCACAAGGGTCCGTGTCAGGTCGTGCCTCCCTTGCGGTGGCCCTCCCTGGGAGGGTGAGGCGAGAGTCTACACTGGCGTTCTTAGGGGTGGGACCCCTGAGTGTGTCATTCCCCCATACAACTCGGGAAGAGATCGGGAACTCCTGGGGGTGCCCTCCCTGGAGCAAGGGACCAAGGATAGGGTATCCATCGTATTTGCAGGGAGCACTGTCAAAGTGAGAGGTGCCTCCCCTTGTCTTTGTGTCCCATCTTGACTAACAGCGTAGCAGGAGGCTGAAGGTTTTCTTGGTAGTTAGAGGTGATGGTCCAAGATGTGGCTGCAGGGATGAGAATGGAGGCCTGACGTACAGGCTGCGTTTTGAAGAAAGAGCCATAGGATACTTGTAGAGGAGGCTTTATACGTTTCTGGATCGATTTGCTTGGTACTTGAGATGTCCTTTGGGTAACTGGAGTCTAAGTATTTTTAATCAAGGTGTTCTGTGGGGCAGCTTTACAGAATAGTATAATGAAATTTCAGGAACTGATATGTCCGAGTTCCAGTAAATGTAGAGTAGGAAGTCAGCTTTTTCTGGTATCGCCCGATACGGCTGTTTTCCACATAGAAGACAAACCAATGAAGATGTTTAATGACTGCTATGGAGAGCAGAGCTCTCAGAGTGTTAGCAAGTGACAAAAAGTCACTGCCCTGTAATGGTTGTGTAGTGGTCTTAGTGAATTGTTCACTTGATGAACTTAATTTGCTTGTTTACTGGAAGCAAAATAATTATAGTGGGTATATCTTACAGCCTTTGAAAGATTCTGCTCCTCATTTGACAGTTTCTAGCCTTATGAGTAAAGATAACTTATTTTGGTGATAGTTAGTGGCTTCCTTTACACTTGCAATCCTAGCTGAATTAGGCACTATGTTAAATACCTTACAGGCCACTGTTGGCAGGGAAAGCACAAAAAATGGCTGAAGGTGCTAGGAGAATTGGCTGCTGGACTGTAATGTGCTACCATCCTCTCACTTGTATTGTTTAAACTTAGTGCTGAACAAGTGCAAGACTTAGTGTCGTGTTTTGCTCAGAGCGCCTCACCTTACCAGTGGAGTTGTTAGCTACTGTATATTTGCTAGCTCTTTCAGGCTGTCTTATAAGCTCTTGTTATATGCTAATGCTTTTGCAGTTGGAGGAGGCGTTGTTGTGGAAGACCAGCCAGATGTGAGTGCAGTATTGTCTGCCTACAATCAACAGGGGGACCCGACCCTGTACGAGGAATACTACAGTGGATTAAAACACTTCATTGAGTGTTCCCTGGACTGTCATCGAGCGGAATTGTCTCAGCTGTTTTATCCTCTATTTGTGCACATGTACTTGGAATTGGTCTACAATCAACATGAGAGTGAAGCAAAGTCTTTTTTTGAAAGGTAATTTATTTTCACTTGTGCATTTGCGTTATTTTGTGTTTGCTATTTTGATTAAATCTGTAAGTTGTAGTAGCATAGGTTTTTACATGTATGTAGGTACATATTATTTTTCTTCTCTAATGTTGAAGAGATTTGGAATCTGAAGTAATGGTGCCATAGATTACAGTAACTGTTCTTAAATCCTTTTCCAATCTCCTATGTTAGAAAGATATGCAAACTACATGCTTTTGAACTGTCCATGGGCAGATTTTGAACCACCTTTATGGTGAGCTGATGGGCTCCTTGCTGCAAAAGTATCAATGAAGAGATGCTGCTTCTTTAGGGAAAGATTGTGGGGTCATTTTTTAGCACTGGAAAATTGCA